GTTTACCGGTGGGACCCTGGCTGCTTCAAGTGCTGTCCAATGCAGTATTTTTATAAGAGCAGAAAACTGGAAGTAAGCTAACTGTGCCTTGTTTCTGTTTGTTTGTTTGAGAGTCTTGCTCTGTCACCCAGGCTGGAATGCAATGTGATCTTGGCTCACTGTAACCTCTGCCTCTCAGGTTCAAGCCATTCTTGTGCCTCAGCTGCCTAGGTAGCTGGGATTACAGGCATGTGCCACCATACTCGGGTTTTTGTTTGTTTTTTGTTTTTATATTAGAGATGGGATTTCACTATGTTGGCCAGGCTGGTCTCAAACTCCTGGCCTCAAGCAATCCATCTGGGTCGACCTCCCAAAGTGCTAGGATTACAGGCATGAAGCACAGCACCCAGCCTCAACTGTGCCTTATTCTAAAATGATTAAATGGGCTGGGTACAGTGGTTCAAGCCTGCAATCCCAGCACTCTGGGAGGCCAAAGCAGGTACATCACTTAAGGTCAAGAATTTGAGACCAGCCTGGCCAATGTGGCGAAACCTCGTCTCTTTATCTTTTCTTTTCTTTTTTTTTCAGCACATACCACTACTGTTCCAGCAGCGAAACCCTGTCTCTACTAAAAATACAAAAATTAGGTGGCCATGGTGGCAGGTCCCTGTGATCTCAGCTACTCAGGAGACTGAGGCAGGAGAATCACTTGAAATCAGGAGGCAGAAGTTGCAGTGAGCCAAGATTCCAGCCTGGATGACAGAGTGAGACTCCATTTCAAAAAATAAAAATAAAACAAAATAAATTGGTAAAATGATTAAATAAATTATGGTACATCTGCTGAACGGTATTTCACGCAATCATTTTTTAAAAATACAGCAGTCTGTATTCACCTACATGGAAAGGTGCCCATTTGTTAGTGGAAAAAGAAAAAAGCAAGACTCAGAATAGCATGCACAGCATGAACCCATTCATTTACAAAAAATGTAAATCATACATTTGTTAAGGCTTGGAATGCAAGTGACGGACAATGCTGCTCAAAATAAACCTCACAAAAAAACAATGGGGGGTGTGATTTTCTAACTTAATCTCTCTCTATCACTTGGTTCTGCTTCTTTTGAGGTGATTTCACTCTTGGGCAGGCTATCTTCAAGTGTTGGCAGAGTGCACACCAGTCTGGCTTAGAACATCCTGACATCTTGATAGCTAGTAACCTCAGTGGAGAGGGTCTCATTCTCAAGAAAAATCCTGGGCTGAGCCGGGCACAGTGGCTCCTTCCTGTAATCTCAGCACTTTGGGAGGCTGAGGCAGGAGGATCACTTGAGGTCAAGAGTTCAAAGCCAGCCTGGGCAACATGGTCAAACCTCGTCTCTACTAAAAATACAAAAATTAGCCGAGCATAGTGGTGGGTGCCTCTAATTCCAGCTACTCAGGAGGCCAAGGCAGAGAATCACTTGAACCCAGGAGGCAGAGTTTGCAGTGAGCCAAGATTGCACCACCGAACTCCAGCCTCGGAGACAGGGTGAGACTCCATTTAAAACAAAAAAAAGTCCTGGGCTGAGGCCAATCAGGATATGTGCTAACCACTGACGTTCACAGACTGTGAGTAGGGGAGAAAGGCTCCCCAAAAGAAAAAGGGTGTCCAGAGGGAATATTTCGTAACAGACATTTGTTATCCTTTTTGACTGACCAGCATCTGAACCCCCTTCCTACACTTGGGAGTCCCCTACCTTCTGGGACAGAAACTACCTCCCACTATTATAGATGCCAAAAATGCCAGAAACTCACTTTCCCAACCTCCTTTATTGTCAGGCAGCACACATGACCCAGGTTGGGCCAATCAGGCACTCCTAACTCAGCCTCTGAATCTGAAGCCAGTAATACCAAAAAGGGCCGGAACCAACCCCATCTTGCTACAGGGTGCAGCTACGGCACGATATTTGGGTCATTGTTCCTGGCTGTGGGACCTCCAGAACTGGTTCTCAGGCTCTCATGGGATCTGTGAGCTACAGAAGAATCTTGTACTAAATCCTGCAGCTTTTCCAGTACCTAGAACGGTGTCTGGACATAGCAGGCACTCAATACATATTCGTTGAGAATGGAAGGAGAGCTGGACTCGATGACAGAAGAACTGAGTCCTACTCACAGCTCTCCTGTTGTGGAGACTTTGGCAAGACACAACCTCTTTGTGCCTCAGTTGCCTCCTCTGTAACCTGGGGATGATCATCTGGGCCATCCCCCCGGCAGGCAGGCCTGCCATGAAGATCAGACAGTGGGTCTCCAACTTTGGATGCATCAGAATCACCCAGAGGGCTTGTTAAAATACAGGTGGCTGAAACCACACCCAGAATTTCTCATTCAGTAGATCTGGGGTAGGGCCAGAAAAATCTTCATTTGTAACAGAGTCACTGCTGGTGCTGGTGCTGCTACAGTGCGGGACACACTTCAAGGACCACTGATAAAGAGAAGGCATTTCATTTTCTTTTGGGCATTGTAAATGAGACTGTGTTCTTAATTTCATTCTTAGCTAGAATGCTATTGGCGTATCAAAATGCTACTGCTTTTTATACATTGATTTGCTGTCCTGACACATTACTGAATTTATCATTTCCAGGAGCCTGTTGGCAAAGGCTTTAGGGTTTTCTATGCATAGATTTATACTATCGACGAAGAGAGAGAGAGTTTGACTTTTTCTTTTCCTATTTGAATGCCTTTTATTTCTTTCTCTTACCTGATTGTCTGGCTAGGACTTCCAGTACTATGTTGAATAGAAGTGCTGAGAATCTTCGTCCGGTTCTCAAGGGGAATGGTTCCAGCTTTTGCCTGTTTAATGTGATGCTGGCTGTGTCACAGATGGCTGCTATTATTTTGAGGTATGTTCCTTCAATGCCTAATCTGTTTTGAGGGTTTTCATTATAAAGGAATGCTGAATTTTACTGAAGGCCTTTTCTGAATTTATTGAGAAGATCATATAGTTTTTATTTTTGATTTTGTTTATATGGCGAATCACATTTATTGATTTGCATATGTTGAGCCAATCTTGCATCCTGGAAATAAAGCCTACTAGATCATGGTGAATTAACTTTCTGATGTGCTGCTGGATTCTGCTTGTACTATTTCATTGAAGATTTTTGCAGCTATGCTTATTAGTAATATTGGCCTGAAGTTTTCTTTGTTCATTCTGTCTCTCCAAAGGACATGAACACACACTTCTCAAAAGAAGACATACAGGCAGCCAACAAACATATGAAAAAATGCTCAATATCATTAATCATCAGAGAAATACAAATCAAAACCACAATGAGATATCATCTACACCAGTCAGAATGTCATTTATTAAAAAATCAAAAAACAATAGATGCTGGTAAGGCTGTGGAGAAAAGGGAATACTCATACACTGTTGGTGGGAATGTAAACTAGTTCAGCCACTGTGGAAAGCAGTTTGGAGATTTCTCAAAGAACTTAAAATATCACTACTATTTGACCCAGCAATCCTACTACCAGGTATATACCAAAAGGAAAATAATTCATTCTATCAAAAAAGACACCTGTATGTTCATTGCAGTGCTGTTTACTATAGCAAGGATATGGACTCAACCTAAGTGCCCATCAACGGTAGACTGGACAGAGAAAATATGGTACAGAGCCAGATATGATGGCTCACACCTATAAGCCCAGCACTTTGGGAGGCTGCAGTGGGCAGATAACTTGAGCTCAGGAGTTCGAGACCAGCTGGGCAACGTGGTGAAACCATGTCTCAACCCAAAATACAAAAAAAAATTAGCTGGCTATGGTGGCAAGTGCCTACAGTCCTACCTGCTCAGGAGGCTGTGGTGGGAGGATTGCTTGAGCCTGGGAGGCAGAAGCTGCAGTGAGCAGAGATTGCACCATTGCACTCCAGCTTGGGCGACAGAGCAAGACCCTGTCAAAAAAAGAAAGAAGGAAGGAAGGAAAGGGAGGGAGAGAGAGAGGGAGAAAGGAAGGGACGGAGGGAGGGAGAGGGGGAAAAAGGAAGGGAGGGAGGGAGGGAAATAGGGATGGGAGGGAAGGGAAGGAAGGAAAGAAATGTGGTGCATATATATGATGGAAAACTATGGAATACTATGCAGCCTTGAGAAAGAACAAAATCATGTCCTTTGCAGCAGCATGGATGCAGCTGGAGGTCATTATGCCAGGCGACCTAACAACAACAGAAAACCAAATACTGCATGTTCTCACTTATAAGTGGGAGCTAAACATTGAGTACACATGGACACAAAGATGGGAACAATAAGCGCTGGGGATCACTACACGAGGGAGGGATGGAGGGGACTGCGGGCTGAAAAACCACTTGGGGAGTATTATGCCTACTGCCTGGAAGACGGGATCGCTGGGACCCCAAGCCTCAGCGTCTCGCAATTTACTCGTGTAACAAACCTGCACGTGTACCCTTTAATTTATAATAAAAGTTGAAATAAAAGAGAGAAAGAAGGGACAGGAGGCGCTAGTCTCCCTAGCAGCCCGGCCCAGATGAAGGAGAGGCATTAAGGGCACCGCAGGACACTGTGAGGACACAATAAACCCGTTCGTTCCTTAATTCGGCCGCTTCCTTGCTCAAGAAGGGGAGGTTCAGTGCCACGGGCTGCGGAGGGTCAGCGGAGTCCGCTGTTCAAGTCAAGGCCCACGCAGCTGCGGACCCAGACTCGGGCGCGGGGCCCTGGCCGCAGCGTGCGGAGGGGCTGGGGCCGCCGCTCCTACCTTTGCCCTGGCAGAAAGTCTCCGGAGCTCCCGGACAGTGAGGCGGGCGGACGCCGAAGAAGCAGAAAGGGACACGCGGGCCTGGGGCGGGCGCTCCTGAGCTTCCCTGGACCCCCGAACGAGGGCGCAGGAGGCGCGCGGCCCCGGCTCTGGCGCGCGCCCGGCACACAGTAGGCGCGCGGCCCCGGCTCCGGCGCGCGCCCGGCACACAGTAGGCGCCCGGCGCGGGGGGTGGCCGGAAGGGGGCGCCGGCGGGCGGTATCCGGGGGCGGAGCCGGCGCGGCTGGCAGGGCGGACCGGTGCGGGCCGCGCGTGGCGGCGGCGATGGGCGAAGGCGGGCTGCCCCCGGCCTTTCAGCTGCTGCTGCGCGCGTGTGACCAGGGCGACACGGAGACCGCGCGGCGGCTGCTGGAACCGGGGGCGGCGGAGCCAGCCGAGCGCGGCGCGGAGCCGGAGGCGGGGGCGGAGCCGGCGGGGGCCGAGGCGGCCGGGTCCGGGGCCTCAGCAGCGGTTACGGTCGGCGCTCCGGTGCCTGTGGACTGCTCCGACGAGGCGGGCAATACCGCGCTGCAGTTCGCGGCGGCCGGGGGCCACGAGCCGCTGGTGCGCTTCCTGCTGCGCCGCGGCGCCTCGGTCAACAGCCGTAACCACTACGGCTGGAGCGCGCTCATGCAGGCGGCCAGGTGAGGCGGCGGGGCCCGGGGGACCGGGACCAGAGTGGTGCTAGGCGCTGGTCCGGGACGCGGTCCCCGGCGGCCAGATGCTCCGGGAGGTAAAGAGTTAAGGACTCCTTAGAGTTGGAACGGTAAACTTTGCGTAGTTTTTTTATAAACTTCGGGCGCGGACGTGGAAATACTTTTGAATTAACATAAAATCAGATTCTTAGAAACTGTGGCCTTTCAGAATAGAATCTGGAGACTGCGAATGGAATCGTAGAGACTCTGAACCTTAGAGGTTTAATTTATTTCTTACTGCAGCAAGGGTTTCACAACCTGCCTTCCCTCCCTGGCTTGGCGTTGAGGATCCTGTGAGACCCCGGCACAGTCCCCACCCACGGCAGTGGTGGGCAGGCCAGGCAAAGGAATGAGCTTGACCGGACAGGTTTGAGTAGCTCTGGAGCCATGGGGGAAGGTATCTGGTAGAAATGATGTTGATATCCACGTGGAGACCTGCGGATGCCTAAGAATTAGCCAGGACAGAACAAGTGGGATGTGGGAAAGGCAGGAGGGGAGGCCCATGCAAAGGCTTCGGTGCACGAGCTGGTAGGACTAGTAGAATGATGTATGAGTAGAATGATGTACTTGTCCTCCCTGGAGAGGAGGCACATGGCAGGTAGTGGGGGGTGGGGGGGTGGGGGGTGGGGGGGTGGGGGGGTGGGGCTGAGAAACACTAGCTGTCCTTGGGTAATAGGAAGCCATGGAAGGTTCTAGGCAGAATGCGTGACGATCAAATTTATGTTTTGGAAAAATTACTTTCCTTGAAGTGTGAGAATAGAGAGTTAAGCTAGAATCAAAAAGGCTGGTTAGGTGGAGTTTGCTGCAGTCTGAGTGACAGGTGATGGTGGCATCGACCAGAATGGAGACAGTGTCAGGAGGGCACCCAGATGAGTTTGATATATTCAGGGAATAAATCAGCGAGTGATCTTGGTGATATATTCAGGAAGTATATTCAGGGAGTTAGTGACTGGCCCTTGGGGAGGGGTTAAGGGAGACAGCAAGGATCTGGCTTGGATGGCTGGCCATGATGGCAGTGAATGCCCTGTGCTAGAGCACACAGAAAGCCCAGGTTTGGGAATGAGCCTGACCTTCAAGCACAGGTCAAGTGAGAGTCTGTGCACCCCTCTCCACCCTGAAGAAGAGCTTTCCAGCGGGGAACTGAAGATGAGAGTCTGGAGAGTCTGGGCCTAAGGATTCAGGCAGTTACTGGCACACTGATGACAACGGGAACTTTGGGGTAGAAGGAATTAGCCAAAGTGAATGTGCAATGTAAGAATGATACTAGTCTTGGTAGATGACTGTCAGTCACCCATTGTCACAAGACAACCACCAGAAACCAGGTGAGTTTCTTAAAGCAACAGTTGTTTCTTTTGCACAGTGTTGCCTCTCTAGTCTCATCTGGCTTCTTCGTACGTCTCGTCAGCACCATGCTCACATCTATGTAAGGGACCTAGGTGACTCTGTTGCTGAGGGCTGGCTTGGATGTCTGCTGTGGCCATGGAGGTACCCAGACTGCTTCTCTTTACTCTTCCAGCAGGCTAGTGCAGGCTTGTTCATGGGTCAGCAACAGGGTCCTTAAGATTGGAAGCATAGTGATCTCTTCTTTTGTTTTCTCTTGGCTAAAGCAAGTCACAAGTCCAGCCCAGATTGAGAGAATAGATAGGCTTTACTGCTTGATGGAGAGGAGTTGCAAAATCACGTTCCCAAGAGCCTGGATACAGGGAGGGGAATAACCGCTATAATTTCTGCAACTTCTGTGTTCATATTTATTGAACACCTATATGCAACCCCTGTTCCAGGAGCAACTCATTTTACCTTTACAACAGCTGTATGTGGTAGGCACTCTTACTACCAAGACACAGAGGTCAAGTAGCTTGCCCAAAACCACACAGCTATCAAGTAGAAGAGCCAGGTTTTGAACCTGTGCAATCTAATTCCAGAGCTGCCTCTTCCTAACCATTTCACCAGGGCAGATCCCAGAGAAACATAGGCACTTAAAGATTGGACGGTAAAAGGAGTAGTCAGGAGTTAAGGAAGGATTTCAAGTGCTGGCAACAGTGTCACTGCAGAGAAGGAGAGGAAAGAGAAGGACTGATTGAACACAGGAGGTTAACACATCAGGGGCTTGGGCGGGAGAGTTCTCTGGAGGGTGGGGGTCCAGGTGGGATTGCAGTGAGTAGTTTGAATACACAGGAAGTGCACATGGCCCTTTCACTGGGCTTGGGTTTGTGGGAGGCAGGATACTTGCTTAGGGTCTAAAGAAGGTTTTTAGGATGGGAGAGATTTGACCTGTCTTACTACCAGTGGGGTCAGTCATGAAGGAGTAACCAGCAGGCTTCAGGTAGGAAGGGGAGGAGAGTTCTCTAAGCTGAGTAAACATTGTTTTTCATAGAAAAATGGTTCTGAATTCCAGCCTTTTTTTTTTTTAAGAGGTTTATAATTAAAGCAATGTTATAATAAACTTTAAGGGCATTTTACATTTAATTTTTGAATAATATATTCATAAGGTTTAAACATAAGACTGCACACACATACATACAGTGGTATAGAGTGAAGTCTGTCACCTCATCCACCATCTACTCGGCCTCAGCCATCACTCAGTTTCTTGCATATTTGGACAGGATCATTCTTTTTTGTAGGATGCTTAGTAGCATCCTTGGTCTTTCCTCATTAGGTGCCAGTAACCTGCCCTGCAACCAAGTTGTGATAATCTCAGTGTTTCCAGACATTGCCACATGTCCCTCTGGGGGGCATGATAGCCCCCAGTTGAGAGCCATTGCTTTATATGTATGAGCAAATAAGGTTATTGATTTTCTCTTCAGCCCCCTTCTTATACGCTACACACTGTTCTGTAGCTAGCTTTTTTTCATTTAAGGTACTTTGGCAGTCTTTCCATGTTCTGTGAAAACCTTCCTCATTTTTGGATAGCCTCACAGTGTTTCATTGTATAATTTGTTTAACCAATTCCCTGTTGATGGTCATGTAGGTGGTTTCTAGTCACTTGCTGTTTCATTCATGCTGCAATGCATAATCTGATACATATGTCAGTTCACACACGAGGAAGTGGATCTGCAAGAAATTCTGTAAGTGGGGAATATAGGCATTTGTAGTCTTTTTTTTTTTTTTTTTTTTTTTTTTGAGATGGAGTTTCGCTCTTGTTACCCAGGCTGGAGTGCAATGGCGCGACCTTGGCTCACCGCAACCTCCGCCTCCTGGGTTCAGGCAATTCTCCTGTCTCAGCCTCCTGAGTAGCTGGGATTACAGGCACACGCCACCATGCCCAGCTAGTTTTTTGTATTTTTAGTAGAGACAGGGTTTCAACATGTTGACCAGGATGGTCTCGATCTCTTGACCTTGTGATCCACCCGCCTCGGCCTCCCAAAGTGCTGGGACCACAGGCCTGAGCCACCGCGCCCGGCCTTTTTTTTTTTTTTTTTTTTTTTTGAGACAGAGTGTCGCTCTTGTTACCCAGGCTGGAGTGCAATGGCACGATCTCGGCTCACCGCAACCTCCGCCTCCTGGGTTCAGGCAATTCTCCTGCCTCAGCCTCCTGAGTAGCTGGGACTACAGGCACGCGCCACCATGCCCAACTAATTTTTTGTATTTTTAGTAGAGACGGGGTTTCACCACGTTGACCAGGATGGTCTCGATCTCTCGACCTCGTGATCCACCCGCCTCAGCCTCCCAAAGTGCTGGGATTACAGGTTTGAGCCACCGTGCCCGGCCGGCATTTGTAATCTTGATGCGTACTGCCTAATTGCTATCCACATAGGTGTATTAGTTTTCTATGGTTGTTGTAAGAAATTGCCACTCCCTTGGTTTAAAACAACACAGATGTGCTATCTTATAGTTCTAGAGGCCAGAGGTACCAAATGGGCCTCACTTGGCTGAAATAAATGTACTGGCAAGGCTGCATTTCTTCTGGAGATCCTAGAAGAGAAGTTTCTCGCTTTTCCAGCTTCTAGAGGCTGCTCACATTCCTTGGCTCTTGGTCACCTTCCAGCTTCAAAGCCAGCAGCAATCACATCACTTCCACTTCTGCTTCCATCCTCACATCTCCTCTTACTCTTGAGTCTTTTGCTTTCCTCTTCCACGTACAAAGGACCCTGTGATTACTTTAGGCTCACCTGGATAATTTAGGCTGCTCTGCTCAATGCCAGCCAGCTGATTAGCAACTTTCATTCTATCTGCAACCTCAATTTCCCCTTTGCCATGTCACATATATTTATAGCTTCTGGGATCAGTATGGGGACATCATGGGGAACCCATTATTCTGCTTACTACCAGCAATGCATGTGAGTGCCTGTTTTTCTTTTTCTTTTTTTTTTTTTTTTTTGAGACGGAGTTTCACTCTTGTTACCCAGGCTGGAGTGCAATGGCGCGATCTCGGCTCACCGCAACCTCCGCCTCCTGGGATCAGGCAATTCTCCTGCCTCAGCCTCCTGAGGCCCGGCCGGAGTGCCTGTTTTTCTATAGCATGTTTCGCTGATAGTATGTTGTCAGCCCTGGATTTTTACCCATCTCACGGGCGAAAAATCATTTCTTAACCTGGCTGTGATTTGCATTTTTAAGTGGTAAGTGAAATGAAGCGTCTTTCCATATGTATGAGCCCTTTGTTTCTCTAAAAAGCATTGAAAACCCGAAATTTTTTTTTTTTTTTTTTTTTTGAGACGGAGTTTCGCTCTTGTTACCCAGGCTGGAGTGCAATGGCGCTACCTCGGCTCACCGTAGCCTCCGCCTCCTGGATTCAAGCAATTCTCCTGCCTCAGCCTCCTGAGTAGCTGGGATTACAGGCACGCGCCGCCATGCTCAGCTAATTTTTAGTATTTTTAGTAGAGACGGAGTTTCACCATGTTGACCAGGATGGTCTCGATCTCTTGACCTTGTGATCCACCCGCCTCGGCCTCCCAAAGTGCTGGGATTACAGGCTTGAGCCACCGCGCCCAGCCCCGAAATTCTTATCCATA